GCTCTTCCCCCCCAAATTCCCAAATTGCCCGCCCCATTCCTTCTTTTTGATTTGCTCTGTTAGATTTCCAAATTCAATGCTGCAGTTAGCTTCCCCATTGATCAGTCGAAGATCCTCTTAGCGAAAAAAAAAAAAAAAAAAAAAATCTCACGGGAAGAAATCTTCCCTTTCTGTGCGCGTCACTCGATCCGCTCATTAAAAGTTTTGGTTTTTGATTTTGTTAAGATTGGGTCGTTCTGATCTGCGTCGAACTCAGTACAAGTTTGGGTTTCATAGAAGATTCCAAGGTATGCCTTGATTTGTAATTGGGCTTCTTTCTCCTTAAATCGTCCATTCTTCTCTAGTTTTGGTTCGATTATTTTGGTTTCATCAAACATGTAGTGATGATTTTTGTTTTTCTTTGAAATTCCTTAGTTGTAGAAGAAAACCCACAATCTCTAGGTCATAAAATTTTTGTTTTTGACAGATTTGTTATTGCTTTGGTGATATACTCAGCCTTCACGAAGGTAAGTTCTGTTTCTTTGGTTTTTGTTCTGTAAGTTTATTTGGACGTTTGGTCTCTCTGCCATGGTTTGATGTTTTTTTTTTTTTTTTAATTTCCTATTTGGGCCCTTTGGTACCCTTACCCTGTTATCAACCATGATGAGCGAAGTTATTAAGAATCTCATGAATAATAACTCTGAAGAAGAGACATGGAGCTGGGAGGCGCGTGATATTCTACTAGATACGTGGACTACCCTTCTCGTGGTATTTATTTTCTCTTCACATCTTTCCTTTTATAAATAGAAGAATAAGGCAACACCGCAACCCACTTTTTTATTGTATCTTATCGATCTTGAAGGGCAATAGTGAAAACTTCTGCTTGAATTGTTGAAGCCCTTGTTCTAGTTTGTAGCCATATCACTGTCGTTTATGTATATCCTTTCCAAACCAATCAAAAAATTTTAAAAATTTCTGCCATCTTCTTTCAGCCAGTGAATAGGAATAGTGGAATGCGTTGCTTCCACCTGAAGGAAGAAGTGTCGCAGCAAATCTCTTTGCCTTAATTGTGGAGTCTGAGCTAAGACATAACTTTTTTGATATGTCACCTTCGCTTCTGCTCTGGTTCAGCAATCATACTTGTTTGTTTTCTTGTATTATCATCCAATAACAGTTGCTCCTTTGTGGTGTAGCTGCTTCTGCATCTGCATTTAGTGGACGTTTGGTTCATGGATTCAAAATTATGATTTAGAATCATTCTCAATTTACGTGTGTTTTTTGTGTGAGAAAATACTGTAGCGAACCACGAACCATAATTTAAATCATAGCACGAATACGCCAACCAAACGCACCCTTAATGATGATGTCGACTTGAGCTACCATCAAGCTTCCATTTCTGGTATGCCAGAATACTACAAGAACTTACATATGGCTCAACATTGAATTAGCTAAAAAAAATAGCTAGTTTAATGGCGGTAAGAATTTAGATTTGCCGTATGACTTTCATTAGTCTTTTAAGTTTTTGTTGTTTGATAATGGCAACTATGGATGAAAGGTTGAGCTCTGCGAGAGCAGCAAGTGAGGTGACAATCCTTTTCTCACTGAGGTGTTTGCTAAGGGCTTTGCGTGGATTACTCAGGTGTTCCTTTGCCTTCTGATTTTTCTCAATTATAAGTTTCTTGTATGACACCAAGTATCTTGTCAGAATTGAGGAAACTAATTAAGGGGCTCGCGTTCTTAATTGTGTTTTGCTTTGCAATCAATGCTTACGCATTTTTCCCTTTTAAGTTCGCATCTCTGCTTCATCGACACTTTTGTGTTTTTTTGACATGACTTGTGTTCTGTTTTCTTTATGGAGGAACATAATAATCCACGAAGTACATTCTCTGCTTCAGTTGCTCATTTCTGAAGTTATTTTACTTGTTCATAGGGCAGGGGCGTCATTGATCACACTGAATGTCTGGAAGAACTCTACTCATTATTACTCATCACTGGCCATGTAATTGCTGATGAAGGGTAGGGAGAAACACCATTGGTAACTGGTTAATATTTTGTTATATGATAAAATATTTTGCTTGTTTTTTAAGTCCAATTCATATTGTTGATGTACATTCGAAGATTCTTGACAGTTACTATATGCTTTATTGTGCTGTACTTTCCTGTCTTCTCTTCACATTGGTTGTTAGTTTGCACACAACTGCCCAATGTCAATAACAAACTAACAATCAACAACCCTACAATTGTATTTAGAACATGTCATGAAAAGACAATCCGTGTATGCATTTATTTTAAATGTATTTTTTTTCACCTTGCATTATCAGGTTCCAAACGTCATACAAACCCTGTTTTCTGATATTTTGGAGGCAGAGAAGCATCTTGTTATTATACTTTGTTGGTAAAGTGTTGTTTCTCTATCAGCAGACCAGATAATTCATTCTATGTAGGAAATTAGAGCTTGCCTACATCCTATTAACTTGACCCTTGTAATGGAAAAGTAATAATAAGCGTTTGAAGAGTGTTCAAACGTCAGATTATCCAAATTTCTAACCTCTTGCGGGACTTTGCAATATTTTAGTCATTTACTTGTCCATCTCCACATGTCACGGTTTTACAAAATCCATGCTGTACAAGAAGTCAGCATGCAGGTCTCATTGTGTCATATCACGTTTTTGTTTATACCCACATGCGAAACTTTTTAAAAAAAAAAAAATGCTATGCATTTTGATTTCTTTTCCTTGTCATTTTCTGTAGCCAAAGTAGGTATATACTGTATAGTAATTTGTTTGCTAAAAGGAACTAATTTATGTCTGCTATTACAATTTTATCCAGCTCAATCATAAAATTTGCTGAGTAGAGTTTAAATCCAGAAATGAGAGAATTGGTGTTCAGTCCTTGACTTATGGAGGTAATATTATAGAATACTCATGCATCAACTGACTATTCTTTTCCTGCTTACCCATTTGTATTCTGCCATGGACTATAATCCACAGATGGTCATTGTAGAATTTTATTTTGTTGAGAACTTGTTGCTAAACCGATATGTCCTTAATAGTGATAATATGTAAAACTATGATATCCAAGGCACTTCAACTATATAAAACGTGCTACTCTACCATTACCTTCTACTTTGTGTTAATTATCATGTCTGTATATAGTGTTATCAAGCTGATATAACTCTAGCGTCTCTAGTGCTTGTGTATAACATGGTCTGCCATTTCTTTATGCTGTTCTTAGAATAAGCTTAGAGAAGGACTTTTGGCATATAATTTTCATGTTGTTATATTTCATGTTGTTGGTTGGTCTCCTGTAGCTTGTTTTTTTGACGTAGTTTCTCAAAGATTAGTATTCTTTTATCTCTGACTCATGATTGTATGTCCATTACTGAAAAAGTGACCTACTTTGGACATTAGAATTTTAATTGTGCTGTTACTTGGCAATCAAGATGAAATATGAGTTAACTCGTAGGCACTTGTTGTTAGTGTCCTGGGAAACTTAAGTGCTCTTGCTCACAAGTTTCTACCTTCATAGTGAAATTTGTTTTGTTGATAAGTTGTATGGTTTATTTGGTTTTTCTTTTTGTGCTTCATTAGTTAATCAATTTATATGTTTTAATTAATTAATTGGACTAATTTTGTGACATGTCAATAGTTGCTTTGCTAGAGGAGATGACCTTTTTGTTGGAGTATTTTTTCAAGATGGATTATTTACTTAACCATTCCATTTGGCTAGACGTTTTAGATACTTTGATATCTGTAGCTATTTCTCTGTATTCTTTACTTGTTTTTAATGTTAAAGTTGTGGACAAATGGTGTGACATGTATTGTAAACATCTTATTGCCAACTTTGTAGATATTGATAATAATTATTACATTGAATGTTTTTATGTTTTAATTTGAATGTTTTTATTTGGATGTAAGATGTTGTTTAGAATCACTATCTATTTGAATGTAGTCAAAAAGGATATTAACATAATAAAAATAGATATGATGTTAGTATGTATTACTTTTACTATTGGTAAAATATTCAATAATAATTTTAAAAAGCTACAAGAATATGAACATAACAAGGGAGAAAAGCTATTGATTTGTATCATTACAGCACCAAATAGTTGTAAGAGGTTGAAAATAACAAGTCTAAAACGTTATAAGATCTCAATTCTATAGCGTTTCTCATATCGTTCTCATAATGCTATGTTTTTGTAGGATTTTTAATAACGTCTGATGTCCTAACGCTTCACAAAATGCTATGAGTATTGCTTAATAGCGTTTTTGGTTAGCTATTGATAATGATATTTGTTATAGTGAACTAACAAGATTTTGAATACTTAATTTAAACTCAGGCTTAATTTTACTGCTTTCAACATCTATTTCTATTTGTTAGGTCTCCTCCCATTAAGTTTGTGTATGCGAGAAGGAGGAAGAATGACAAGCAAGGGCAGGGTAGTAATTTGAGTGAGAATTAGTCTTGGGAAGGCAATTCAGTTAGGATTTTGTATCTCGGGATTAGGGAAGGGGAGGGGAATATGTTTCGGTTAGTAGTAGTGGCTGGTTAACGGGAGCAGGGGAATAAATAGCTTGAGGATTAGTGTAGAAGGCATCGTGAATTTTGGTTGTAACAGAGTTAGACTTGGAGGTTAGAGGGTCCTCGAATTCTCCTCACTATTTGTAATTTTCTTTCGTGTATTTCAGTTAATGAGAAAGTAGACCCTAAGAGTCATTTCATTCATTCCAATTCTATTTCCGTTACGTATACAATTAGATTTATCAGTAGAGTTACTGGGATCTTAACAATTTGGTATTAGAGCCCTACGATCCATGGAAAACCAGCAAGATTGTTTGGGGCAAGTGGAGAGGAGGCTGAACAACTTCTAGGCTACGTTGCAGACCTTCGAAACATTGGTGGATCCAGTGCCAAAGTTGCAGGAAGACGTGGCGACGATGGGATTGCGGCTTGGTGAGGTATAGGGAGTGGTCGCCGCGATGGGAGCCAAGGTGGACGGAATTCAAGGCGCGATCCACCGACTTGAGGAGCTCATGATCAGACAAGCTCGTCCCCAGCGCTCACCTCCAAGAAGGCTCAGGGAGGATTACTCGCCTCCTGGTGGTATCCAGGATGACCAGACTTCACCCCGACGCGAACCTGGCCGTCCGGTACGTGCAGATCCAAGTCCTCCACGGAGAAATCAGGCGAGGGGGAGGGACGGCCACTGGTTACGCCCAAACGTGTACAAAAACAAGCGGTCAATTGTAGTACAATTTGAACGGTCGATCCCACAAGGAAGTGTTAAATTGAACAAGAAATGACTAGCAAATAAAAAGCGTTAGGAAAGTAAGCAATCAAACAAAGAAAAGGAATGAGTGTTTTTGATGATTTTTTTGAACAATTTAAAATGGAGAAAATTCAATAATTAAATAAAATTCTAACGTTTAGAATTAGGAAAAATTATCTTATGAGAAATCCAAGAGCGACAATATACCGTTGGCAATAATATAGTAAAAGACTACTCATAAAATAATACCGATCAATATATCATATAATGCAACAATCACATAAAGAGAGCTTGACTAGATTTATATGAAAGTTGACAATAAAATATATTGATAAGAAGAAGAAATATGATAAAAGAAAATTATTTACTCAAATGTATAAAACTTACAAACCATTAGAGAATCAAAAATCCAAATAAGTTCACTACACATATAGGATCATCTCTAGCCTCACATAAATACTCTAGCTTAGCTTGCACATAATTCCCATAAAATTCTAAAAAGAAAGTATGAGAATAAGAACAAGAAAATAATAGAAAATGTGTGAGAATTTAGGCTCCTCAAAATCAACCACTAATCACCTTGACAATGGCCCTATTTATAGAGTTTTGAGAATGCTTAAAAAAATAAAAACGAATCCATATTTACAAGGCTTAACGGGGGAGAAAAACCATCACAAACGTGGCTGAAGAGGTGGGACACGTGTCGCAAGTTGATTCGCGCGCGGGAGAAGTGCTGTACTGGCTGGGCCCACGCGGAGGAAGGCTTGACGCGTGCGGGAGAGGAAGTCGCGCGGGAGAGAGAGAACGTGCGCGCGGGGGAGAGAACGTGCGCGCAAAGTGCGCTTGCTGGCGTGGGGAAGGAACTGGGCATGGGACCACGTGGCGTTATGTGGTTGAAGGGCTGCTGCACACGGGACCCACGCGGAAAAGAAGGG